TAGCATGTTTTCGTTTTTGGATGTGTTCAGGGCACACGTTAAAGGTGGCCAACCAGCACTGTTACACCATATGTGCATAAATAATTAATCTGCTTGATCAATTACAAACATTCCATACTGGTTTGATTGCAAAAGAAAACACACCGAGTCTGTGTCCAAAATTAAAAAAAAAGTAGTATCTCAATATGCAGACTATTCATCCAGCTGTCCTGTACTGTTTCTATTTTTTACCACCTAAAAAAAATACAAATAAAGTAAATAATTCACTTCCTGTGTGGTTAGCATTTTGCTTCAGTTTATTTTGTATATGTGTTCTAAAACTATGAATTCTTTGCAAAAGTGCTACAGTTAATCATTGTTGCTGTTAAGTAGCAGACACTGACAGCATCAGCTTTGTTTGTGGAGTTGTTAAAGAGGGACAGGATGATGTCAGTCGGAATAGAAGTGAGGAAGAGATGGATGCAGAGGGACAGGAGAAGGATAGTAAAATAGGATCCAGATGAGAGTGGAATAGGAACCACTAAAAAATGTCCCAGGTTCAGGTGCATTGTGCCGGATTGGGCCGGCATTAAAGCTTTCTTTAAAATTATATTAATCTCTTAAGATTAAAGCATTGTGGTCCAAACTCTGGCATATAGTGTTGCAGCTAAACTAGCTAAGGCTTGAATTCTTGCTTCAACACACAAATTGTCTCAACCACAAGTCTCATGGCAGTTGTTATTTTTTACAGCATCTAACTGCCAGAGATAGAAAAATACAATAAGTAAGGAGCAGTATCTCCACAATCTATTTCGCAACAATATCTTATTATATGGAGAAACGAGATGCAAAACTCAATCCTCAGACTCTATATACAAAGTCAAAATATTTATTCATTTAAACGAGGAAGGTCTTAACAGTGAAGCGGAAACACCTTAAGGGATTTTTGAACATCACCTAGAAGAAACAAAATGAGAAGATGAGAAGTCAGGGGGAGCTTTATGCTTTACTAAGAAATTGTAATCTCTCAGAAGAATGTGTTTATATATCTTGCTATACTAAGAAAGTTTTGTGTTTTAACAGCGCTGCTCCTGAATTTATTCCTGGCTTTGGCAGCTAAATGCTTCTGTAATTTTACAATACATAGTCACTTTCTGACTGAACCAACTTTGGTTAAGTTATAGTCAAAAGGTTTAAGTTTCTAACTAAAAGGAAAGTAGTTAATTTAATTGGAATTAAACCATTTTTAAACATTGCATTGAAAACTAACGCAGTTAATTGAAATGTAAAAATGTTCAGTATCTAAAACTCTCCAAAATTGCTTTGTGTAATATGTACTTATCTTTATCTAAGATTGTCCTGATGAACAAAACGCATTAAGAGTGCTCTGTTTGTGACTTCACAAAGAGCTTAAAGAGAATTTTAAACTGGGTCTTAAACAATCTTTGTTCATGTTAAATAATCATGTTCAAGTTTGATCAGTTAAGATCAAATGCAGCCTGTGAAATATCCCATTACTTTGGGGACGACAGGAAGTCACAAATCAGATGCAAAAATCAGCTGCAGCTGTTGTATCCCAGCTGTAAAATATGACCACATTTTCTTACTCATTCACTGCTTTGACTGACTGATACCTTTTATGAGGAGGACACATCACATACTGCCCCAGTTAGATTGGCACCCTGGGTGATGAGCCACATAACCCATTTCAAAAAAACACAACTGGAAAGAGGTGCAAAGTGTATTTTGGGAAGCGTACATGTGGGACACCGGCATATAAAAAAACCACACAAAGCACGAGGTACAGTGAAGCTGTTTATGTGACAACACTAACATTAGCCGTCCCAACCTCATTGAAAAAAGCCACTCACCCAAACGGCTCCAGAGAAACAAGAGGAGATACTCACACTGTGACACACTCCAATACTCACTTGTCCTGGCAGCTTGCCTGCCAACTACTGATCTCACCAGACAGGATAGGCTCTGAACTGTGGCTTGTTGATAATACAGCACCAATTGTAACTCTGATCTACCAGGGCAGCGACGTTCCTCTGCTGTACTGTTTGCACCATGCACCTTCTCCGTGGATTATGTTACCAGATGCCATGGACACCGCTTTTCCTGCATGGATCCTAATCCAATCTTTTTTTTTTTTTTTTTTTTCCCCCTCTCTCTTAATAGCCAAACCACACTCAGTAAAGAGCTGCACTGCCTTAGTGCATTTAACAATGAGGTTTTGGTTGGTACAATCATCCTTTTGTTTCCCCACAAGGAGTGATCCGTGGAGGGATTTTCTTGTGGTTATGGTTTTAATGCAGCAGAGTTTACCACAACCATCAGGCCGTGTAGATTTGTGTTACATCATGATGCAAACACACTGAATTTAGCAGCGGGTTGAGGTGACTTCAAAAGTTTCACTCTTCACCACCTCAACTCGATTAATGCTCTGAAGATCTTTGTAATAACACAAGAAGATTCACACCCGTCTCCCTGCTTGGCACCATTTACTTTCTTTGGTTTTCTCCTTGACTGACAGGTTGAGCCGTTGGCAGGTTCTCTCTACAACAACCGCAACGTAACCAACTGTGAAATTATAGGCCAACAATCAAAACAGAACCAGGCTTATCATATCAGTGCCAGTTATCAACCATTGTCTACCAGGTCACTTGCGTTGGAGAAATGGCTGGACAGCTGACGTTAAAACGACGCATACCATTTGATATTTGGAGGCCGTGTCTGTGTTGATGTGCTGCTGTGATTAGGGGCTCCTATTGGTGCTAATACACTTTTATTTTTTTTATTTTTTTTTACTGTTTTTTTGCATGTGATGTCATAAAGTTGTTAATAAACACTGACTCGCACAAATAAGCATAGATATAAAGAGCTGAGAGAGACTCAAATTGCTGTATTATGCCAATGACCATTGTAAAGCTATGCAAATATTGAAAAGATTGAATGTAATTTAAGGCATGAATTGGGCATACACTTTAACATTATGATTTTGAAAATTATGATTATGACTGTTATTATTATTATGTTGTATAGCTTTCTTTTTGGATATTTAATGTAATGCTGACCATTTATTTATTTATTTATTTATTTATTTATTTATTTATTTATTTATTTATTTACCTAATATGAAAAAGAGATAGCATAATATTTGCACTTTTTGTAGAAAATGTAAATAGCTACATTCTAACTTTTTCAAATATTACCTCAGTCTTCCTGACAAAAACCTGGACAGGCCACTTTAGGAATACATCTATAAAGTATTGAGTAATGTCTTTGTTTTAACCAGTATTTATCCCAGTAATGCTGTGCATTTTTTTTTGCACAAAATAATAATAATTAAAAAAAAAACTAACTTTGCCAAATCCATGTTGTAATATTTAATATTTCAAATAGGATGGAAGCTCCAATAAATAAAGAAGTGTGAAGTACATTTCCCTGATGGAATCTCTTGAGCTGTTCTTAATGCAAAAGCTTGATTCGGCTTGGATGGTGAAGGAAAAAAAAAAAACAAAACATGGGCAATAAAAGCAATCTGGTATTTTGCAGCTTCTAGTACAGCCATTTTATAAGACGATTTTTATTATTACTAGTATGGGATTTATCCGTTTAAATGCTGCAGGATTTAGGGAGATAATTCTCTTTTTCAAATCATCCGATTTTCAGATCAATGTTAAAGACTTGGGAATTGCCGCGAATCATATTCTCTTTGTGCGACCCTCACTTGACGGTCCTTCAGCGGCATCTCACCTCCACACACCCCCTTCGGTCAACTCGATGAAGTGTGATCAGGAACGGAGTTAAAGCGGCGCACGAATGAAAGCAGGGAAGAGGCGCAGTGTAAAGGCGCTAATGGAGAAGACTGCGGAAATAGGGCATGCTAATTATAATATTAAATGAGATTTTGTGTCAAGTGTTGTACGTGGTGGTCAGCTCTGCTTATTCTTTAATTTCTGTTTCATTCTGTCTGATAGGAGGAGAGCAAGAAAGGGCAGCTTCGGTGCATTAAAGCAACGGAATTTACATTTTAAAGCTCCCTGGTAGACTCTTCTGAAACGCCAAACTTAATTTATATATTAAAGCTCACTCGTAGTGTGTTTTTTTTTTCTATTTGTTTTGTTACTTTATTGAGATTTCATCAAGACAAAAAAAATAAATAAATAAAAAAATCTACTTTCCACAAACCAAGCTCAGACATGCTTATGCCTCTGGTGACATCACAAATAGCATAAAGCAACTGATGATATTTATTTTAAGAACACCTATCGCTGTTTTTGTCCTCCTTTGAACTAAATTTTTAATCAAGATCATTGCTGAAAGGTGTTCAATCTACTGATGGCACTCGTTTGTCTTGATTCTTGTGCCTCTTGTGATGTCATCAATATAAACACACGCAAAGCAGAAATATACTTTTTAGCACGCCTTTTAAAAACATATCCAGAGGAAAGCCGTACTTTATTACCATACTGTGTTTTTATTTTTAGAGGAAATTTGCAAGTAAACAAAAAAAGAAAAAAAAAGAAAGAAAGAAAACATAGCCAAAGCAAAGCTTTAAAACATTGAATATGTTATAGACACTATTAGTTGAAATTGAAATGTAAGCTAAATTAGGACACTAAAGTGAGTTTTATTTTTGTAAATTTAAAAGGCACGGTCGTATTTTTGTAAGGACGCAAACTGCAGGTGACAGTTAGCATTAATGTTAAAAATCGATAAGAAATTTGTTAAATAAACGTGAACTCCGCTGATTTGTATTCACTAACACACACTCAAAAACACAAACCACACACACTCTCTCACACACACACACACACACACACACGCACACACACACACAGGTGCGCCGCAGCTACAGTCATAATAACACACTGAGGAAAGTTCTGATCTTTCACCATAATGAAATTCAGCTCTGCTCAATCAAACAGAATCCCTGTTTTGTTTACATCCAGCCTTCCATACTTCACCCTATAGAGCCAAACAGAAAGGAACTATTGAGTTTCCACAGCACGTACCATTATAGCGCGGGGAGTTCTGCCAACCCTCTCAATGCCCCATTTTCCTTTAAAATTTCACGGCCAAAAAAAAAAAAAAAAAAAAAGTGAGGGAGAGAGAGCTGAGGGACGACGACTTCTTCTCTCTTCACTGTTGCCGGAAGCAAAACAAAAAACGGACCTTTAAACAAGGCCGCTCCAGGCCCAAAAAAAAAAAAAAAAAAAGTGGGTCCACTCTGCAGAAGACTGGTTGAAGAGAGGACAGCAGCAGCTCCGGACCTCCCTCCGTCCTATCGCTGTTTGGTGTCAGATGCACCCATGTCCTGCATGAGGAAGTCGGGGAGACGTGCGCGTCAAAGTCCCGATGAACTTGTCCAGATTGGAAGACGCTTAGACAAAAAACATATCCCGAAATGATCTTAATATTACGATCAATTTACTGGACAGGAGGGGTGACACAAAGTAAGTTTCTCTTCTCTTATGCTTTCATTAAAGAGTCTTTGCAGTCGAGCAGCTTCTGCGTCCAAAACTCGTCCAAAAAGCAGCGCGCCCGATCGCTTTTACCGTCGTATATCTCTCTCTTTCGCTCGCTCTCTCTCTCTCTCTCTCTCTCTCTCTCTCTCTCTCTCTTGATCCACACTCACTCACACACATACACACACACCCGCACACGCGAGAATATAGATACACACAAACTGAGGAGGGTGGTTGGGGGGGGGGGGACACCCTCACCGCCTCCTCCTTCTTGAAGCTGACGAGATGAAAGCGCGTGCAGCGTCGCGTTGCGCCGGTAGCGGAACGCTGGCAGAGCAGCGACACGTCGGTCGGTCGGTCGGGTCCCGGACTGCGGCGGAGATAACGTGCGGGGAAAGGGAAGCGCTCCGACCGAACGGCTCACCTCACCGGCGTGCACAATCAGAATCCCACACGGTGGTTGTGTGGATGAGTTGGTTCACAGTGAGCCACCTCGAACCGGGGAATTATTGGGTGAATTATTAATAAAGCGAGCGGTGCGCAGGCTGTCGCGGTGAGAGCGCAGCGACCACGGGGGAGCAGCTGGGGCTTTAGGGGAATTAGGGACCCCCGGGGGAAAAAACCCGGGCGGGGGGGGGGGAAAGGGGGGGGGGGGGGATTATTACAGGCTGCACTGGCTCCGGCACATTCCGTCAACACACTTTACTTATCCTGGTCCAACTTAGAGCTGAGCTCAAGCAAAAAGAGGGAAAATATGATCAGAACAAGAAGACTCCTCTAATACGCATTTTTTATTTATTTATTTTTTTTTATCGCGGTGTTGGGGGAGCAAAGGGGAGGAGGATCCGCGCAGCTCATCAGGTCAAAGACATTCTGATGGGTTGTTAATCAGACTTCTGATTGGGTAATGCTAAGCTGGGGTTTAAGAAGTTTTAGCTCCCTGACACAGATCTGTGCAAGGGACGTCACCAAGAGATTACACGAGTGCAGAGATCAGCTTGGAAGATTTGATTTTTTTGGGGAAATAAGTTCACAGAAACTTAAACACACGAGCAAGCCGCAGAAAAAGAAGCAGAAGACGCACTACAGTTGTGGAAATACGTGTATAAGCTATTATTTCTAATAAGAATTTTGTCAGATTATTATTTAAAAACAAATTTTTTAATGCAGAAAAAAATGGAGGCTTTGCTTCAAACAAAAATCGTGAACCCTGAAGGGCCCCATGCAAGGGCAGACTTCTGTCAAAGAGACATGGAGCTGTCTCAGCATGGGGCCCTTTTTCAAACAGTAAAAATAAATAAATAAATTAAGAAAATATGTTGATCTGATAAAACATAAACAACAACTGGACTGAATTGAATACACAAAGCTTTCTATCTGCAAGGATATTTATTTCAGGCTCTTCAAAATTTAGAAGGTCCTACTTCACAGATGAAATAAACATTTGCGTGACTAATGCGGCACGTGCATATTTATTTATTTTTGCTTGTCCGCGTTCATGTGTGTTCATTTGTGTGTGCGTGTCGTCATCATGCCCTGTAAACCAGACGTCTGATGACATTCCTGCAACATGGCGAATTATTAATAATTAAGCGTTGACCCCCCTAACACATTTGGCCCCATGAATTAGTCATCTGTAACTAGGTTTGTTTTGTATTTTAGCCTCGTTTTTTTTTCTTCAGATTTACAGGAAAAACAAATGTGTCTGGGTGAATAACGTGTGTGTATGCCTGTGTGTTTTTTCTACAAATACACATTTTTTTTTTATTATTTCTCTTTATATAACATATACATTCAACAATGGAAGGTTGTTGCTTGGGTTCACCGGATTATCTTCAAAACTGTCAATTGATGTAAAATCAGAACAGCAGACTAAATTTACAAATGTTTAACTTTCCTTTTACTATCCAAGATACAATTAAAACACACATTTAATTGATGATAAATACAATTACTGAAAACCAAACGTTAACAACAATGTGAAAATTGGAACAGGTTGTCTTTCCTTAAAATGATATTTAGTGAGACAGCTTATAGGTCAAACATTTCTCGAGACGTTAAAGTAACTAAGAAAACATCTATCAAATAAATAAATAAATAAATAAATAAATAAATAAATAAAATCAAAAGTTGTTAAAACAGGTCAGATGATGGTAAATTAATTAAATAAATTAGAAATGTTCTAAAATAATAATCATCACAATAAAAGTTGACTACAAAACGCTGATTAGAAATTTATTAAAGCAGTAAAAAAATGCATTCAAACAACCACAATGTCACTAACAACAACAATAATAATAATAATAATAATAATAATAATAATAATAATAATAATAATAACAAAAAGAAGAAAATATTAATTAAAAAAAACTTATTTAAGTAATATATTTTTAGATTATTCGTCTTTTTAAAATAATTGTATTTACATTTTAATTGCTTACTTTTGCATGCTTTTCGTCGTCTTCTTTTCATTTTACAGATGCTGTTGGATATTAAACTCAGGCATGCCCGCGATGGCCTGTTTGTAAAAATGATCAGTTTACTGGAAAACTCCCAAAATGGGCCTCTAAAACCCTCCAAATAATCCCCTCAACACGATGTGTTTTTTTTTTCTTCACTCGTAATTAAAGCGCAAACTGCAGCGCGCAGTCAGCACACCGAAGAGCGCCTTGACCAACTGTAGAGCCAACTTTTGCAAAAGGCCCTGACTGCAAGGTTTCAGAGAATAAGATCATTAAGGAAATTCAATAAGGTGAGGAAAGTGGTGCCTATGGAACGAAAAAAAAAGCTTAGTTGCTTTTAATCATCAAACAAACAAACAAACAAACAAACAAAAAAAAAACGCAACTTCATTGGGGTGGGAGAAGAAATCAATACGATTTCCAAATCTTTTGTAGTTTTGTAATTAACAATTTATATATATTTTACAAAAAAATAAAAATAAATTTAATCTAAAATGCAAACCTGTTCGTACGCAAAAGGAAATTTTTGGCATAACTCATTTAAAGATCTTTTTATTTTTTATGGATGCTTAAGGAGTTTTAACTGAAAGGCCTTCACAACTAATATGATGCAAAAATCAAGTGGCTGAATCGACAAATGAAACGCCACAGCGGTCTTTACTGAAAATATACGAAATACAGTTGTTTTCCATTTATTTTTTTTCGCGCAAGCAGTAAATATTTATCTATTTTTAAGCATTACCACAACTTAAACAACGATTTCATCTTGAGTCATCGTGTATTTGTACAAGCTGACCTCGTTTCAACGTCTCCATCGCGTCTCTTGCAGTGCAAGCAGGAGCGAAGTTTGCGGATCTGGATTAAAAACCAAACGTGTATAAATCAAAATCTAAGTAAGGTGGGAATTAAAAAAGCAAAAACAAAACAAAAACAACAAAAACTCCAAACATAAGCATTTATCAACGCTACTTAAATCAATAAAAAAGAGAGAGAAAGAGCGCACACAGTAAGACTTAGGCATTTCTTTTTTTATTTTCTTGGAAGAACACTATAGCTTAAAAAAAAAAAAAAACACCATTTGATGCTGGCTAGATCCAAAAGTCACAAAACAAACTGCGGGGCATCCGTTGGCAGGCAGCAGCGTCCTAATCACGCAACTTGTAAGCGTCAATTAGGCTGAGCTTTGGGGGTTAATGAAAGCCCTGAGCAGTGCGCCTGTATGTAGCCGCAGCCCCCTTTAAACTGCAGACCACAATGCCTCTGGTAGCACGCTGCTTTAAGAGCCAGCATCATGTGGGCAATAAGTTCCCCCCCACCAAAGAAAAACCTCAGAATGAGCAGAGAGGCGCTCGGGCAACACAGGAGCACTTTCTCCTGATGCCAACATGCTGGTCTGTAAAGCTAGAAATAATTACACGCTGTACTCCAAGAAAACAACTTCTAGATCCCACGCAGGAAAAATAACTGCAAGACTTGGTGAGGCTGATTATTTCTAATTAATTAAACTGAAAACAGGTCAGGGAATGGCACTGACGTCCTATCAAATATGTGTGTAACACATTTAAACTAAATTTTTTAACTACACACAGAGTGCAATGTATAAGATTGAGGTATAAAATAGGAATGTGTAAAAAAAAAAAAAAAGATAAATAAAAATATTAAAATGTGATGCATCAATAAATCACCACAATGAAAGCCCCCACAAAATGGGGAGAAATAGTGATAATTTATTCCTTAAATTCAATTTAAAGACACAATATGGAGTTTTATGATAAAGAGAAGTCAACAGGTGCACAGAGTTGTGTGTGTGTGCATTACAAATACAAAATGTTTGATAAGTCGATAATAACCATCAATATAGAATATGTCATTTTGTGTCTACAGAAAGGGACCCACTTTTTTGTATTAGTCATTTTTCCTCTGCCTTAAAATGTTTCTCTCTTTCAAAGGAAGATGCAACAAAAGCATAAATAAAGGCCAAAACAATGAACAAAGTGTCCCGACAATATGAAACAAAAAGGCCACCTCTTAATGAAAATGTGAAAATACATCAATCAAATTCAAAAAAAGGAAATGATCAGATTTCATTTTCCTTTTTTCTTTTTTTTTGGATTGTAATTTCACAAATACTTTAAACAGTATGACGACTGAAAATCAGTGAAAGAAAAAGGGGACAATAAGAATAGAGTTTATTTTCTGTAAGACTTCTCAGCTGTAGGCCTCAGCTACCCTGCTGCAGAGAGGCAGACAGAAAACAACAATCCTCCACATCATCCATCAGACTCTGTCGTCCCAATATATGTTTTTTTTTTCTCTCTCTCTCTGCAATCTTCATTCCTCACTGAAACAGATAGCACTGGGAATGCCGCACATCCCTGCGAAAAGTGCAACACAGGCACTGGAAAGCAAAGGAGATGAACAAGTAGAAGGAAAAAACAGAAGAAGAAGAAAAAAAAGACAAGGCTCTTTTTGTGCGTGGCGGCTGAGGTTTTATCCCTGCGTAGCAGAGTGTTGTCTAGCATTACAAATCTCAGCCCCGCTGCAGCCTGGGCGGACACGGCCATGGGAGGGCCCTCGCACTGTCTGCATCCTTTACGCTCTGCCATGCAAATCAGACCCAAAAGTTGAGGAGATGGAGGGCTGTGGAAGGAAAAAATAATAATAATAATAAAAAAAAAAAGGAAATGAGGGAAGAATGAAGGGC